GCTAGTTTTCTGAGAACGGAGCTAGTTTTCCAAAGATCCTCTGGAAATCCGAGCTTTGAAATTTTTTCGAAAGTTGTTTTCGCTTGTGAAAAGGTCCGCTCAAGTCTTGGCTATCGAACAGCGAAAATCGCAGGTCTCTATCTGTCTCATGTGAGAAGTTATTCAGAAAGCAACCAGGGTCGCCGTATTTTGGCGACGATAGTAATTAAAAAAACCTATTCGAGCAAAATTTAATCAAAAATCATCAAAAAATAATGCTTTTTTCAAATTATTTCATCGCCGAAAATCATCAGAATTTAATCGATTTTTATTGATTTTTAGAGTTTCAATCGATTACAATTGATTTTCATCACTAGTAATTGATTTGAATGGATTATCTGTGAATCCATTTTAATCGATGACAATATTTAATTCATTTTAATCAGCTTGTACAGAAATCCGGATTTTTCTTGAACTAATCATCACAAATCGATTCTAACTCAAAATCGATTATAATCTTTGTCACTATAATCCTGAAAAAATCCATCTATTTCCCTGCAATCCGTTAAAACCGATTCCATTTTCAAATCGATTACAACTCTGGTGAATCCAATCGTCAGGATTAATTCTCCGAAACGTTTCACAGAATATGCTTGAGAGTTTTGCTGATAAAAGAGTAAAGTTTTCCCTTCTGTGAAGTTTCTAACGGTGAAGAGAAACTGAGAAGGTTTTCTTATTTCATCCAAATATCTTGTTGAACCACAACGGGTTTTGTGAATTTAATAATAGCTCGCGGTTGTGTGAATTTGTAGTAGACACTATCTAGTAGCTATGATAGAATTCTTAAGTTTAGGTAATGTGTCGTTATAGAGTTGTACGTAGTTTAAATAGACAGTTTCCTTGATGCCGGAATTTGTGCGTTTTCGGCTCTTTGCAAAAATTGAATATCTCAGCAACGCAACAACTTTAGGACCTGCGATTTTTGCCGAAATTTATGAAAATATTTGCTCTAAAGAAGTCCTTAGTATGGAAGAAAACTGAGGTGGTCGATTGAGCAGCATTATACGATAATAGGTCGTGGCTTATCTTTAATGACTCACAAATAAAAAACAGAATACTCTTTTTTAGTCTCAGTCCACGAGAAGCTAAGTCCGAATCAGTTCTATATACAGTTTTTAAAATCTTAAAATTTTATATTTTTCAATTTAAAAAGCAAAAAAAGAAAATTTTAAAAAAGCTCTCATGAGGGACTCCGGAATTCGATTCTGAACAGCTTTTGTATCAAGAGTTTTGTTTCAAAATGCTTGCTTCGAGCGAAACTAGCCGTAAGGCTTTTTTCAAAATACTTTTAGCCCTAAAATTTCCTCGGGAAGGTGAAAGTTAAATTTCTCCGTCAAACTTCATTTGGGAACGATGTAAAGTTTTTCTCCTTATACAAATTAATGTTCTCTATCGAACTACGCTAGAATCAATTCTTCATATCAAAAAATGAAGTTTTTATTGAAATTTTAAAAATAGGGCAAAAAACCCGAAAAAACTTAAAAATTTTTTTTATCAAAACCTATAAGTCCGGGAACTGAAAGCGTTGTTCAGACGTATACTTCGAAGTGTCCTGCACAAACTGCTGGAAAAAAACGGGTGGGGGAACCCCCTTTAAATGTGCCGCTTTATTAGATTTGTACTAATTAAATTATAAATCGGTTTAATCATTCTTTTTCGGTCATGCTTTTCTCAGTTTTGCTCCTGATAGTTTTCACAATTTGATGTTGCTCATTTTGTTCGGTTCAAAATATCGGAGACTTACGTGTCGTGTTAAATCCATTTTTGAATTTTACATTTATTTCTTATCGTTAGTATGAGGAGACAAAAAAATGAAAATTATAATAAATCGTATTCAAAATGGTTCGAAGCAGTCGTAATTTCTTTGTCGCACAATTTTCCCTACTTCATCGAACTCATAAAACTGAGCAAACCACGCTTTCATTTGTCCACCAATCGGTATTTGTCCTACAGGCACAGCCAGTGTTCCCGTCCATATGGCTTCAATAATTACTGTATTTCCGCTCACGTATGATCGTTGAATATCGTACGTTTGACTGGTCAACACTTTCTGCCCTTTCAAACTCGCTTCTTTTAACGCCGTCAAATCTCGAGTGATACCATTTGGCACTAGACGATTAGGATATTCCGTCTGTTCTACGTGAATAGCGTAGAATTGGTCCAGTTCATCACCCTTTTCAATCGCATTCAAATAGTTCTTGACAATTGTTAGAAAATCCATGATAGTCTAAAAACAGTGTGACATATACCTGCTTTCATCTTATAAATAACAACAGTTTATTATAATTAAAAGAACAGCAAATAATGACATATTTGAGCGAACTTTCGATGTAATCAACACATCATCTTCACGCTTAATGATACAAGCAGAAAAAGTATAAAGAAGAAAAGCAGAATAAGCTATTTTCATTCGTTCACTAACCTTCCATTAAAACAATTCCTACTTTTACTTTATACTCTATCGTTTGAAAAAATTACTGTACATAATGAGATGTCGTTTTAAAGTAGCTTATTCTACTTTTCTTCTTTATATTTTTTTCCCTTGTATCATTAAGCGTGAAGATGATGTGTTGATCACATCGAAAGCTCGCTCAAATATGTCGCTATCTGCTGTTTTTTTAAAAACATTAGAACGCTTCAAACAAGTCATCTTATAAATAAAGGTCACATTCGTTAGATGAATGGAATTAATAAGAGGAAACTTACGAGGAAACCTATGGACATGCCCATCTCCGATCCCAATGATTTATATGTCGATCGATAGAGCATAACGAGCTAGTAAAAAGTCTAACAGGATTTATCCCCATGGCTCTTGAACACCCAGTTTTCTGGAAAACCAGTTTTTCAGAAAAGTAACCAAAACCTTTCTTAATGAGGCATGGTTGTAGCCCGCAAATTTCTGATTTAAGTGAGACTCTCTCAGCTCTACAAGATCTTTCTTTCTAAAGTTTTAGTATCTTCAAGAAAAGCCATAAATTAATTTCTTCTTATTTCTGTAGCTTTGAGCTGACAATGAACGTTTAGGGCTATTCTTGTAAATCCTATAACTTTGCAAAGAAAGGTCGTGTACAGCTGGATGAGTGGATGTCTCAGAGTTGTAACCGGTCTGAAAATACTAGACCGGTCCGATCCGGCCAGTCACCGGCCGGTCTAAAAATATTTCCAGACAAGTAAAAACCGACGAGTTCATCAAGTTTTTTTAAGTAATAACATTGATATTAGGGACAAAATTTGTAGTGTGTAAATGTAATAGTCTGTCTCAAGCAGTCATTTGTCGAATGACGAAACGTCACGAATAATTTGAAAATAAATTTGGGAAGAGATTCACTATGTCAAATAACAAAGCCAATTAAGACGAATTTGGGAGGAAGCTACGGTATCGGTATATCGAAAGTAAAAAATTAGATTAACATTAAAGAAAGAAGATAAAAGCATATAAACGCCAACACGTGACAATGTTCCGATTGCTAAGATATTTTAAGCAATCAGTGATATGACTTTGTCTTTGAAAACAAATTGAATAAAAAGAAAAAATTTACATTTCAAATAAAATTGTCTCTCTCTTTCCTTTAAAAAAACTACTAAGCACGGCTACGGTTACGGGCTAAATTTACGGGCTATAACCATTAAGAAAGGGCATGGTTATTTTTTAGAGTTTCTGAAAAACTGGTTTTCCAGAAAACCGAGTCTTCAAGAGGTATGGGAATAAATCCTTTTAAGGTTCTTACTAGCTCGCTATGCTCTAACGATTGACATGTAAATCATTGGAATAGGAGGTAGCCATGTCCATAGGTTCCCTCGTTAGTAACAGTAAGTACCATCTTTACATACTTGATTATTTCACCATAAACAGATATGAGAGTAAAAACAGAATGGAGCAAAAAATGACACTCATATACAGAAAAAGACAACAATTAGAGAATAAAAAGATTAAACAAAGGGGGCAAAACTTCTAGCGTTTTATAAAAATTAATTTCTTAAAAAATAGATTGAATACAAATTAAGCATAATCAAGCAGTCAGAGTCAGGCGAGTCCAGATCTTAACTTCAACTCGAGAAAAAAGAGTAACCTTGATAAAATGACTCGAGTCACTTTCGAGTGAGCGATACGAAACTTTGCATTATATTGAAGATATTTCTTATATGTGAGAAGAGAAAGAGAGGGATTTAAGAACAAATAAATATCTTATTTTATTTAAACTTGCTTAAAGGTTTCTGTCGATCTCTGTAACATTTGATACAGACAGAATATTTTCGTAATGTCTTTTTAATGCGTCTTTATGGTACCCGATTTACATCGAAAAATTTAAGTTTATTAAAATATTTGAAACGTAATAAACATTTGTTATAAAATGTTTTTAAACTTCCGAAGGCTATTTTCTTGTGCAAATTGAATCGTTATATGCAGAGAGCCCAAATTTCCTGATCTGATCAGGAGACTCCTGATTTTTAGACTTTTCTCCTGGTAAAAATTTGCTGATTTCAGGAACTGATTTTTAAGATTTTTCCTGATTTCTTCCAATTTGCAATTGTTTTCCCGCATCGATTTTGTTTTCTCCAAAACTGAGATTATCAGTTTCAGAAACAGAATTTCTGGACCAAAAGTCTAACTAATTGTACACTAAAAGAGTCCACTGCGTGCTTATCGAATGTTCTCATCACAAGAAGATGAGATTAGTGAACTTCCAAATTCATCGGATCAAAACTTTTTCCGCTGCTTCTGCGTACTTCATCAAAAAATATTTCAAAAACAAAATTTTTTTGAAAAAGTTACTGGATTTGTTTGCTTGCCCAAGAAAAAGCTGCCTAATAGTCTTCTATTTTTCTCCTGATTTTGAAAAACTGTATGTGGACACCTTGGTTATATGTGTCTTTAGCTTGGAGTTACAAAAAAAAGAAAATAAATAAGAAAAAACGTACAGGACATGTTAAACAGCATGGACAGAAACGAATGCTCAAAAAGAATAGAGAGGAGCTAGAAACTCTTCTTAGAAAAATGAATCTGTGAGAATTTTAACTTTTCGAAAATGACTCGAGATGAGTCGATTCAGTTCTTAATGCTAGTAGAACTCGAAAAATGGTACCTTGCCCAACTCTTCACGCAGTTTGCGTGAGAATAGTAAAAGACATTTTTGTTTGAAACATTCTACTTCAAAAGGAATCACATTTTAAATGTTTAACATGTGCACGAGAAAGAACAAGAAAAAGCAATTTTATTCACAACGACAAAAAAACGCAAGACAATAAATACCTACGTGAAAAAGAAAGAAAATGTAATATTGATAAGAGGAATCCAGCAAATTTATTTGCGAAGATATCTCTTTCCCCATAAGATATTTCATCTGCAGACATTTTTTCATCTCAGGGTGTCGGTGCAAAAGAAAGGGAACAGAAAGAAATGCAATGCGAAAAGAGATATCTCCTTATTTGCTAGTTCTCTAATGGTTTTTATAATCCAAGCAAAAAAACGAGATCTCAGTGTGTACGTACACAAAAACATTGATGTTCTACACGTAGATTCAAAAAGTAGGTAACTGATACGAAAGTTTCTATTTGAATGGCAAGGTTTATCGCCTATATAGCGCTTTGCAGTTCGATTTACGCAGCATATAAGTGCTGTAAATCGTTTCTCCGATCGATAAACAGCTGAATTTCATGTAATACTATCTGAGACTCACAGATTTGTAAAGGAAAACTGTGACAATATTAGCGAAAAGCTTGTTAGAGATATGTGTATGTCATTCAGAATTCCTCGAAACGTTCGTTCAATGTGAAAATATGCACTCGATAGTTCTTCATCTTTAGAAGTTCATTATTATTAGTTAGCATCAGATTAAAGAGAGTTTAAATTCGACTGAGAAATTCAGCTGTGCTGACTCTTTTCTGTTTATCAGAAAACAAAGAACAAAAACAGTAGATAAAAGACATGACTGTTGCTCCTACAGTTCGATGGATCTAACGTTAGATCTTGGTTAACTATTCCTCTTATTGATTCTCAATTCAGTTTTGAAAATGTAACTTCTTCATTTTGGCTGTCTGTGAGCTGACGCAATTTATTCACATCTACTTTCGAACTAAACACTGACTGCTCTTACCACGAGTAATGGCAAAGATTTTCTTTCCTTATAAAACAACGTGGAAGTTCCGATGATGATAATACTTCATTTAGAAAGCTTCGCATACTGTTATTTAAAGTGACAGTGTTTAACAGGAAGTAATATTCATCTGCAAATATGACAGAATATCCCAGGATAAATATCGTGGTACTGGATAGTATAGATTACGCAGTTTTCTGCTTTTTCCACTTTTACTCTAGTCATTTTTTACAATTTGCCGACTATTATAGTTCCAAATGTTTTCGGTTCATCTCTCAAGCCAAGACATATTTCTACGTGAAAAAGTTGGACAATATTTCTCTTGCAAGACTTATGCCTACCTTCTTTGGCACAGAACTTTCAAAAAATGTTGCCTTGAAGTAAGTTAGGTGCATTGTCAAGTAGACTATTGATGCGATTGACACCAGAATGGGTAAAGCCATGCGTTTGTTACGCTAATGGTGACGGCTCCGAGATAACAACTGATAGCTCAATTTCCACTGTTAGCTGATTTCAATATGGCACAGCTATAATAAACAAAATCGCCAAATCCGGTACTAATATACAAATGGCATGACTCGATAATTCGCAATGTTCAATTGCAGTTCTGATCGGTGATGAAAAACATCATATATATTGTAGATGGATTGAAACCAATTTATAAACCAGTGAGTTCAAAAACAGAGTTGAACGTCTCGTATATTTGTGCTTGAATACTGTGTTTTTCCATTTAACGAAGAACATGTGTACTAATTATCTTAGAACTTTGAATTTTCAACATTCTGTTTTCTTACACTTTCAGTTTCAGAAAACTGTTTGAGTAATACAACTGTCCCTTCCCGTTTCATCATTATCTTCATTCTCTCTATTATCATTTCCAGGACTGTCGCTATCTTCATCGCTGGAACCATCATTTTCACATTCTATTCTTCCAATATTTACCGTATCCATCGCTAATCTTTGAAAAAGGCCTATATCAGTATGGTCGTCAAATGAATCAGTGAACATTCAAAAATTAATGATTTAAAGAATCTTGTCAGGATATTTTTACAGAAAAAAAAAAAATGTCATTTTGTTAATTGAATTAAGTATTAGAACAAAAGTAATTAATTGAGTTACTAGAAGTAAGTTACTTCACTTTGCTTGTTCGACTCATGCATTAACAATATCATTCCTGTCGATATCCTTTTCTTTTTACTTATTTTAACAGAAACAGAAAATTCGATACAAGGAGAACAAAACTTCTATTTTCTACATATTTAATCTACATATTCAACGTTCCTTTGATTGCTTTCTCTGTTTTTGTTCTTTTGTGCATTGGTCTTACTACTCGTATACGGATCGCTGAGTTTCATTTGAAGCGTAAATTCCTTCACATACATCGATACATATATATATATATATACTATTGCTTGTATTAATAGTTCAGTTATATTTAGCGACGACTAACAACAGAATAACCTTTGCAATAGAGTCGATAACATTGAGAAAAATCAACATGCTCCCCTCACGCTCTCATTCAACAGAACAAACAAAATTAGATAGGCGCACGAGTTTTCGGACGTCATAAACTTTTCCTCATTGAGCTTTAATCTATTTTGGAGAGAATTGCTAGACTCTGTTGTAAATCCTCTCTTAAAAAAATTAAATCACCACTGTCTATCGACAAAAGCCAGTGACCCGTTACAGATTTGACTTTGCATTAAGCTATTTTGTTGGGTTCATGTTAATATGAAATTTGACTTCGATGGAGTTTTTAATGCTAATTACTAATGTGCTATTTATGTGGAAGAAAAATACAATTAATTGAGATAATGGCTTGTCCAAACGTCACGGCGTTACGTTTTTGACGCACTAAACTTCGGTTATCTCGGAAACTAAAGTAGCTAGAAAGTTCGTTCAAATGTCAATCAACGCAGTTCATCATGCTTTACTTATGCTGTGAAAACGAAGCTTTTTGGATGTTGCATTGGGCTTTGAGAAGGATTTTAGTGTCGCGTCACGCGTTACGAAAAAAGACCCTTTTTTTCGAGCTCTTTTGGGAATTCTTTAATTTTGCTGCCAAGTTAATTATGTGAAAACGAAACTTCTAGAGCAAAATTTATAGAGTAATTGACAGGCTATCCGATGGTAAAAAAAAGTTTGTTCTAGCGCTTTTCGCTAAGGAGAAAGATGCAAAATAAAAACGACGTTAATTCACTTTTTTGTCAAGCATATTTGAGGCACTTGACACGATGGTAAAGTTTTGATTTTCACAGCTTCCTGTGTTCTTTGCATATTTGATCGATCTGCGCAAAACTCAAGTTGCTGTATCAAAATAAGACAGTAAGTCAAAAACTGTACAACTATGTACAAATTGTACATAGCAAGTAAACTCAAAAACAAATTCGTCATTTTGTAGAGCAATTCTCTACAAAAGCATATTTTTAGAGATTTGTTTTAAAAAATGTTATCGGTTAAAACATTAAAAATCCGGTTTCTGAAAAGTTCAAAACGAGATTTTTGGATGAAAAATGAACTTTTTTGTAAAACGGGTTCTTAGACTAAAATACTGCATCTAATCATGTGATCAAAACTTTCGATATCGAAAAAACATTTTTCAAAAACTTGATCAGAGAAGTGTACCGTTACGTGGACAAGCCGCTCGGCACTTTTTAATATTCTCGTAGTACATGACCTCCTCTTCCCACCGACATCAACAGCTAGATTTATTGGGAAGAGAATTTTCTTCTAACAATCAGTATATTTTTGGTGTGTCATGTCGAAATATTATTATTAGTACCACTTTTTAAGAAAAAACCTGAAATTGGATCACGTGCTGATCTGCTTGAAATTATCAGAAACAGACTTTTAGAAATGTTTAGGTATTCATTCTTAATTTCAGATAAACAGTATTGTTAGAGTATACAGTTGTCAAACGAATCGTTTCTGTTCCATCAAAAAAGTTTATCGATAGGGTTTTTATTAATTATAAAAGGCATTACTTCTCATCGATATGCCCATCTCTCACGGTTTTCTGTCCATTTTCGTTATTTAGCAATAATTTGATTACTAGCGAGTCATGCCATTTGTATATTGTACTAACATCACTCGGATCGGATTTGACGATTTTATCTATTATAGCTGTGTCATATTGAAATCGGCTGACAGTAGAAATTGGGCTATAATTGTCAGTTGTTATCTCGATGCCATCCTCGTCAGCGTATCTGTTATTCATTCTATTGCAGTTTCGCGCAGCAAATGCATGGTGATACCAGCTTTACCCATTCTGGTATCAATCGCATCAGTAATCTACCGGACAATGTGATATACCCTACCTTACTTCATGGTAACATTTTTTGAAAGTTCTGTACCAGAGAAGGTAGACATAAGTTTCGCAAGAGAAATTTTGTTCAATCTTTTCACTTAGAAATATGTCTTGGATTGAGAGATGAACCGAAAACATTTGGAACTATAATAGTCGGCAAGTTGTAAATAAATGACTAGAGTAAAAGTGGAAAAAGCAGAAAACTGCGTAATCTATACTATCCAGTATCACGATATTTATCCTGGAATATCCTGTCATATTGTGAGCAGGATGGTAGCTAAACTCTCACTGTGTCTCACAATGGTGCAAAATGCTATTTAGAATTTTTCTGGATGTTATGACATATTGTAAGACATAATGAGAGTTACTAAAATTCTTCTCACAATATGGCAGAATATTCCAGGATTAACATCACGATGCAGGATAGTATAGATTACGCTTTTTTTCACTTTTTACAGTACAGAGAGATCTCAGCATTATTGTATGACAAAATAGTTAAACATGAAAATAAAGAAAATCAATCTATCAGTGATATTTAGCAAAATTTGCACCGGTGTTTTACCGTTTTCGTAATGATACAAGTATAAGAAAATAGATCTTAATGATATATATATATATGGGAAATCGATTTTCAGATTTAAGATCATGATTCAATAAACGTGTAAATGCAGAAAACTAAATCGAGAACTGTTATGCATGTTTTCGATGAGTTTCAGTACTAAAAAGTTTTTTTCTCATACGGTTTAACGCAGAAAAATGTCAAAATATGCGAAAATAGACTTGTCCAAAGGTAACGCTGTGACATTTTTGACACAGTAGTTTGAGATTTTATTAAAAACTATAAGAGCTAGAAAGTTCCTTTTGCTCCATTAGACGCGGCTCTTCTTACTGTACTTTGACTATAAAAACGAAGATTTTTGGTTAAAGACTCGAACTTCCACAATACCTTTTTAGACCGGTAACGCTGTGACATAAAGACCCTAAATTCTAACTACTCCTCATCAAAGTGCATATTTCTGTGAAATTTAGAAGAGCTAATAAAAAGTGTCTTGAGCAAAGTATATGGAAGAGCCAACGGGCTTTCTTTTAGTAGAAAGGACGTTTTTCCAAACTCTTCTGCACGCCTATAAAAGTCGATTTTGTAAAGTAACGCTATGACACACTTTTTGTCACACCATTTTAAGGCACTTTACGTTGTTCAAAACACTTCACATTTATAGCCTGTGTATTTCTAGATCTCCTGAAAAGACTCCAGTTGAAAAAGTTTGAAAAATTCTCTGACGCTTTCAGCTCAAGCCGGAAGTTGAAACATTCGAGCAGCCACTGTGTCTTAACTAAAAAATAGATCTCAAAGCAAAATGAGCCAGTTTGTAGAGAATTGAATTCTTTATTCAATGGTGTGTTTTTAAAATGTTTTGAACAAAATGTCTATGTCAGAAAATAGAGATTAAAGTTTTTAAAAGTTTTAAATTAAATTTTTATATTGAAAATTAATTTTTTCTGCGAAATAAAAGTCAGATTCGTGATCAGCATGAAAAGCTGCTTCTAGTGATGTGCCGCTATCGATTTTACAAAGAAAAAAATTCAACTATTTGATCAGCGAAGTGTCGTGTTACGTGGACAAAGTAGAATAAATAATTTTTTCGGTTCAATTCCTCAATTATATTTCTTTACTGTCCGACCGAAAAACTTTCAAAGATGTCGGGCCTGGATTTTCCATAATACTGATCTTTTTAGCTCGATCAATTTTTTTAAATCTATTTTTCATCCTATCATATCAGTATATAGTACTTAAGATAGTACATCTTGTGATATCTCTCGTTTAATTTCAGATTTAATATCATCTGACTCAGAAAAACTAAATTCTATGCAAAAGTAGGTCAATTTTTAAAAACGATAAAAATATTTTCAATCGAGTGATGTAAATTTATAAATTCCATGTGTTTGAGAGTTAAAACTGGAAAAATATTCTTTCAGATAAATATCAACTGACATAATAGGATGCAAAATGGATTTTAAAAAATTAATCGACAATATCCTTTTCTCGACTACGCTAATTCTACCTTACATGTTCGAATACGAAAAAGAGTTCAACTTAGATACTAAGTCAATGTAAATACAGTATAAACATCTATAACATAAAATCTAATGCGCGCGATACTGCGTTATATATCAATAGATGATATGATTTCTTCAGTTACAGTCTGTGAGAAAAGTGTTTACTCAAAATTGCATTATTGTTGAGAGTTTGATAGGAATACTAAATTTTATTTAGTACAAATGTTTGAAGCTAATTTCCATAGCTTCTGCCAACAATTGTAATAATGTACAATTTTTAAGAATATCAGTATGCTATTCCTCAAATTTTATCACATTAAATTAACCTCAAAAATAGCTGAAAATAAAACTAAAAGAACAGGGTAATTGAAACAGTACATGTTTTTTCAAAAAAGTCGTTTTATAGTCTTATTTATTCAAAAAAGCTATAATTATCGACCAAAATAATGTCTAGAAGCTATATTTACCTGTATTCTAGCTGTATACACGAAGTCTGTTTTCAACTTTAGCAAATATTTTTCAATTAAAACTTATATAATTTATTAAAATGAGCAATTCTTTGTTAGTTTTGAAAATAAAAAATGCGCATAACATTTTTTTAGCAACCTAATGGTAGCACGTACAAACACGATATTTGTAATAAGCGCACTAAATTCGACTCTCAATAATAACTTTCATTCAATCCAAGAGTCACACTTCGTAACGTTTACTCATTATCTCCGGTTGATTAATAACAAGGAGCTCTGCGTTTCGCTCATGATATACGAGGAACTTAAATATATTAAGTCACGATAGTGTTACTGTTCTACTTTAATTAAATTTGTAATCATTTGTTCCCATTTTTGTTTTAATTGCTCATTTTCTTCTGTTAATTCTGTCAATTTTTTATCACGATCATCTAATTGTTGTTCATACATTTGACATCGTTTTTCTAATTGTTGAATTTTTATCTTTAAATTATCGATTTTTGATGATGATTTCTAAAGAAAAACAAAAAATTAGTGTTAAAAATAAAACTAATTTTATCTAACAGTATGTGCTTACTCGTGTTTGCTGTTGTGAATGATTATGTCTACCATTAATAGATAAAATTTTAGTTTGATCTTGATCTAGTAAGATTGTACAATAACATTTAAATTTTGTACATATCCAACGTTCCGTTAAACTTTTATTCACAAAATGTAAACGATAAAAATTTGAATCGAATGATATTGCTGGTGTGCCCTTGTCAGTTATTGTTCGTATTAAATCCATGTTGATGTGCAGTTTATGCTTGTGAGTGCATCATTCATGACATTTTCTCATAAATGCACAGACCTACGTAAAAGAATATATATATATATATATATATATACGTATATATAAGTATGCAGATATAAAGTATACAGGGTATATATATATATATAGGGTGTACATATGGTATACATATATATATATATATTTTTATATATATATATATATAATATATATACCCTCCCTTATTTTCTCTCTCCCTCTTGCTCTCTCTCTCTGTCTCTCTTACTATATATATATATATATATATTGACGTCTTTTTTCTTATCATCGTCACATCATACAGTGAGAGAACAGAACCGAAAATACACGGACTGACCCTACTATACCTCTCACCATAGACGAGGTAGTAGAGAAGAAGAAAAAAAATCTCTAAAAAGATGCTGTGTTCTTTTTCTACGGAGAATAAATGAATACATCGACATTTTTTCATCAATATATTTGTCTTATTCTCTTCTCTTTTTTTTGTTTCATCATGGAGAAAAAAAAAGATCTGGCTAAGAAAATTGTATTACGTTAATAAAATGAAGCGTGTTTAACAACACAAATTTCTTACTCTACTGACTATAAATCAGCTTATGAATGTTACTATGATTTTTAAGAATAGTTTGCTCCACATACTGTTTGCCAACTGACAATGAATGGTGATTCAAAACTTTTCTGATTGAAACTAGTTTTTTTTCTATTGCAGTGTGTTTAATGCTGATCATGAATGTAAAAATTTATTTAGGCTCATGAGGATTTTTTTACTATCTGATCACTAGAACTTTACCCCATAGTTTCAGTTTAATAGTCTCTGATACTGCCAGTTTGTGTAGTGATTCAGCTTGTATCTATGCGAAAAATTTTTAAACATACCGAATAAGTTTTTCGTGGATTAGAGAATCATTACTGTTGTGTCTAAATACTTTCATGTATACTTAAAAGTTTATTTTATGTAAACTTTTTTGATATATGCTAGTTGAACTGGCAGTAACAGAGACTGTTAAACTGAATTTATGGGATAAGTTTCTGTCAGTTAGTAAAAATTCTTATGCATATTACATTCGTGATCAGTATCAAGAACTGCCAGAGAAAAATGAGTTTCAACCAGAAAAGTTCAGAATATTTGTATGTTTGTTTTCTTGATGTAAAAAATTCGATTGATGCATTCTAGCTTCATCAGACGATTAGGCTGCCGATGAAACTAAACTATTAATAATAAGTTTTTGAGTATATTAACAGCTTCTTTCTCAAGATGTAACCTACGATGCAAAAGTAACTGGACAAAATGTCCCGCCATTTTTCTTATGATAAAATATATTTCAGAAAAATGAAAAAATTCTATTGAGAATCTAAATTTAAAGAGCTTTCGACCTGTATGTTCAAAAATTTTCTGTCGCTTTTAGTCTTCTCAGAATGAGCGAATCTTTCCTATGCACTAAAAACTAAATTGAAAAAAAAAGAAAATCTGGTATTTTTCGACAAATGTAAGTCACGGGCTTGGCAAAATCAAAAAGCAAGGAAGGTCTCTTGTGGATAAACTTTTTTTGCCCTTCCCTTGCTTTCTGCAACAGAACGCAATACAAAATGTTCACCCAGTCAGACGGAAAATATTTTTTCCCAAGCAGGAAAGTGTGTGACCCCTTCAACTTCATCGTGCACCCGGCACAGTACTTGCATTCCTTATATAAATTTTTTATTGTACATTACCAAAACGTTTTTACGGCATTAGATTGTAGAACACACAATTCTCTACACAATAAGATGTTAAAATAGAATACACGACATAACGGTCGGAAATTATTCGCGTTTTTTTGAACATTATTTTTTACCCCAAAAAGATTTCGGAAAAAACACAATTTTTCATAAAGCAGGTTTTTGATAAAATTAAAAGTTTGACCAATGTTTTACAACGCAAAAATAATCTAAGATCTTCTAGTTGACAGAGAAAATTCTACTTTATAAACTAGTGAGTAAATCAAAGTTTAATCTGTCAATTTGAAGTGGGTGTTGTCAAAATGAAAAAATATCCAAAATTTTTATCGTTACACTCTTAAAAAACGTGTTCTTCAGTTTTTCAAAGAACTGAAACGTCCACGGGACTTTTGTTCTTCATTTGTCCCAAATAGAGAAATGAAATTCTGTTCTTCAGTTCTTAAGAACTCAAAATTTAGTTTTCAGTTTTTAAAAAAATGATCTTTTTCGTTCTTTGAAAAATTGAAAAACAAATTTAAAGTTCTTGAGAGATGAGGAACAGAATTTCATTTCTCTGTTTGGGACAAGTGAAGAATTCTCTCAGAGCTGTAAAACATCTAATTTTGTAGAAAAATGTTTACTCTACAAAATGCATTTGTTAAAAGAATTCCAGAATCATTTCTAAATTCCCGTTGATTTTTCAGTTCTTTGAAATAGAGATATGCAACCCGACTCGACCCGAAGGTTGGGTACTGATACGAAGTTGTGGAGTACGGGTTCTATTCTTTTTAATTTACCCGAAAACCGGAAAGTTCTTGTGAAAAATCCACAAAATTTTAGTGAAAAAATACAGGAGTTTAACTAAGATACATGAAGATTTAAAAAAGAATTACATGGGGACATGATGATAATTTGACATCTTCAGCCGAAAAACAAACGTTTTTACCTGGAAAAAAACAAGGAGATCATTTTTAAGCATAAGTTGGATACGGGTCAGGTACGGGTACAAAATGCTCGGATGGGGTCGGGTACGGGTAGAGCCCTGCAGGTTAAATCTAACCTAATCTATAAGTTAGGTTTAGGTTACGATTTCTATAGGTTAGGTTAGGTTTAGGTTATGAAACTTTTTATAGGTTAGGGTGTAGGTTACACCATCGATAACCTATTTCTAATCTAAACGAATAAAACCGATTTTGAACGACCACTTTAAAACAGCCGACACTTTGAGTAATAAAGCGTCGTTTGAGTGGAATTTTATCGATTGAGGATGACGTTCAGACTGAGGTTTTCTAGTTTAAACTGAACTATATTTAAACTGAAAAATATCACAATCAAAAAAGGAAGTACAGAGAAAAAACTTCCGTTTGCTAAAAGTAGATGACAAATACCCAACAATAACAGAACCTTCCTAGCATTGAGAGCCTAAAGTGGAATTCTGATCTACTGTTAAGAGAGTCTTCCTATTCAGAAAGCTATTTTTCAAAGATTGCATTAAAGAATAAAAGATTTAACCGATTCATTTCTATATTCATGTAAAATGTGATTTATTTTGTATAAGCTTACCTTTTGAGACGGTGTTTAGAAAAAAAACAATAACGATATGGAACAAAGCTAAAGTTTAGGCTTGTGAAACCAGATTTTGGGAAAAAATTGCAACAGGTTGTAATAGGTTAACCTAGATTAGGTTACGAAAAACATCAATAGGTTAGGTTAGGTTTAGGTTGTGGAAATTTTTACAGATTAGGTTATAGGTTATCAAAACTTCGTAACCTGCAGGGTTCTAGGTACGGGTACAAAGTTGTCGGGTACGGGCGAAAAAAAATTTTCGGGTTGGGTACGGGTACGAAAATGGTACCCATGCACATCTCTACTTTGAAAAACTGCAGAACACATTTTTTTAAGAGTGTTCAGCCTAAATTTTTGGTCACAACAAAGATTCGCTCACTGCCAGAAGACTAAAAGCGATAGAATATTTCTGAATACATAATTCGAAAACTCTCGAAGTACACATTCAAAATAGATTATTTTTGATATTCTCAGAACGTGCTTTACCACAAGAAAATGGAGAGACATTTTGTCCAGTTACCTTTGCATTGCATGTGAGTTGTAGTTACACACTATGTTTCACCAAGATTAATTGAATCGATAGTCACAAGTTATTTTCTATTTATGAAAAAGATTTTTAATTTTAATGGTAAATGTGCCTATAGGATTGAAAAAAAGAAAGAAGAGCATCTTTAAAATTAGATGTAATCATGTTCAAAGGAAGTCTTCAAATAGAATCTTATCAAACAGAAATTATTTGTGGTATATTTCTATATTTAGTAAGAATATTACATATAATTATTAAAAATAGATACAAATAAATGTGATATAATGATTGTGTTTATTATTTTATGGAGAAGGTGTTGATGATGACATAGCGGTTCGTCTTCCTGCTATTGGCGTAACAACAAGATTGACAATTGTTTAAATTGCCCACAATTGTTGGTTGCCCATAATATTGTGGTGGTGGTAGTTGTGCACTATACTCCGGAGGATTTTGATACGTTGAAGAAAGATAATCACTGTTACTTTTATCTGTTGCCATAATTATTATTTTATTAATTTACGATCCTATTCTTTTACTCTACTTGTTAAGATGAGAAGACTGTGTCTCTATCCTCACAATACTACATTTATTGGATTATTTTTTGCTATTTCATTAATATTTACTTTGTCACATTATCAGTGACTAAGATTTCATTATATATATGTCAAACAGAGGATACACAAAGATTCTTTTTATCATCTAATCTACATGTATTCACAAAGTTTTGCCATACTAATAAGAAAATTATGAAAAGAGATTTACTGTCACCTTTCAATCGAGAAAAGACAAAGAACAAATTTGAATCCACGGCTTGTCCACGTAACTCCTATGGCAGAGATGTCACAGCGTTCCTTTTTTTGCTTATTTTGTTTTGACTATAACTCCGAAGCTAAAGGTCGTAGAGAGTTCCGCGACGACTAAACTTTTTGCTTACTAACCTGATTCTGAAAAATCCATTTTGCCCGAAAACGTGACAGAAAGGCTACCACCTCTCAGTTTCTAGCCTATTTCTATCAAACCATAGAAGCAAAAATTTTGAAAAGAGTGTAGAAATATAGAGAAGAAAATTGCCTTTCAATTCATGCGAAATACTTTATGTTTTAGTAGCAAACTTCATCTGGAAAAACGGAGCGCAAATCGAACAAATATCCAGAAAAATGTCAAATGGCAGTTTGAAGATTGAGCATGTATT